GAGGAGGGAGGTCTCTGCGGTATAGCAGACAAGTACCGCCGCTAATTTAGCTTTTGTTAGTAAAAGTGTATCCGCGCCGCGCCGCGCGCTCCCCTCTGATGGCGGGGGTGTCAACCCGAGAGGACCGCGACGGCAAATCGGGATCGCGATCACAGCGCCGAACGCATCAACCCCTTTCATCCGCAAAGCAACTTTCCCGTCCTCGTGCGCAGCATGGCGGGAAAGACAAGACGGGCACAGCAAAGGAAATTATGCGAAGAGCAAAAGGGTGACTGATAAAACAAACGGAGGAGGAATACCGATTGGCCCGTCCAAAGCGCCCCACTGGCCCCGCCCAGCTCGTAAACCCACAAGGATATACGCGGCCCGATTGGAAAGGGTTGCGCAGCCCAGGCAAGGGGCGAATTGTTTCTTTTACCACCCCCTCTCTGCCCGCAATCTCTACTGATTTAAATTTAAAATGCTGTTCCCACGAAAATTAAGAGAGCTGTGCGTGTGTGTAAGGCTTCTTGCCCAATCCTCAAGGCGGGATGTTTCTCAGACCTCTGCTTACCCCTTTGCACATGTCCAATCGATTTACTTCAGAGAAATATTTTATGACAAAAATACATTCACAGATTCGATACTTTGTAGATCTTTACGAGGTGGTTTGGGGGGGGGGGGGGGCAGGGATAAATCATCGCTCGACCAGCAACACCTCTAGGGTACAAAAAAAGACATATATACATGCCACAAGGATGGCGCTACCATATCGTCCGAGGACGTAAAGCTCGGCAGTGGAACACATTAGTTCCGGTGGTGTGTTCTCAACTCCTCTCAGCCGTCAGTCCGCGTCACTAAATCACATTTATTTAACACTAAACGCGTGAGATGAGGGATGTTTCCCACCAGCCCCCCCACCGCGTTTCCCGCAAACCTCAAAAATCTTTCAGTCGTCCGTGTATTTATTGCCAAATGAAACGTGCTCGGTTTGCGATGGTCTCCAATAAATTCATAGACATGAACGGCGAGGGGGCATTTCGCTTTCCAGTTTTGAAGTGTGTACATTTTGGTCGGAACAAAACTCATTCTTACTCTCTTCCCTCCTCTTTTTTTTTTTTTTTGTCATGTCAAGTCTCAACCCTCTTTATCTTCTTTTGCGATGGTCTTTTATTTTCGCAATGGAGAGAGACTAGAGAGGGAGAGGAAGAGTGAGAGAGACGTATAGAGAAGTGAGAGGCCTGGAAGATGACATCATTTTGCGGAGCTCAATTTGGCATCACCGACTTCCCTCCCCTACCCCACTCCATCCAGCGCCCGGAAACGAGTAGAGAAGATTGGAATGGTAACATTGCGAGGCAGGGGTGAGAGAGCGAGAGAGAGAACGAGTGAGCGAGAGAGAGAGAGA